GTCATACTCTTGAGTGGGTCTTCTGTCATTTGGTGGAGGGTTGTATATTACTGCTACTACTATTCTTGGTCCTCCCATTGTTATGGTGCCTGCTATGTAGTCTCTGAATCCCTCGCAGCCCAGGATAACCATCTCCTTGAAACTCCATTCCTTTCTCATTAGTAGGGCCACTCCACCTCCTTCCCTCTCTTTCCTTATTACTGTGTACTCATGGGGAAACACCATATTCATTATGATTCCTGAGAGTTTTGTTTCTGTGAGTCCAATTACATTTGGGTAATTGAACTCTTGTGCTGTTTCCCTTAGTTCATTCGCCTTGCTTGTGATCCCATCTATGTTCGAGCACATCACCTTGAAACTGACTCTTTTCTGTCCTCTCCCCTCAGTTTCTGTTGACTCCCCTGAAACAGGGAAACAGGGAGGGTCCGGGATAGGGGGGGCTTAGAAGGGGGACCTGGGGGATCTGGTATGGGGATTGGTGGAGGAAGGAGGGCTTGGGGGGGGGAGAAGAGAGGGCTTGTGTATTCACCTGTTTGTGCTTGTGGGGGTTGAGCTCTGCTCTTTCGGCCCGCCTCTCAACTGCCAGTCAACTGTAACTAACTACTAATTAATATTTTTCTTCACACACACGCAGGAAGCAGCTCTGTAACAGCTGTCTAACTCCCAGGTACCTATTTACTGCTAGGTAACAGGGGTCAAGGATTTTTTTTATTATTATTTTCTACCATAGACGTGGCCAGACATTTACAATGCTAACCATCATATTTACATTTTCTTCTGTCCTCCATGGACAGGGTGAGAGATCTGTTAAACATATAGTTCAGGGATTTATTGAACAATCAACCACATAAGGTGATTGTAGTGCTTTTAAAATGCTAATCTAACCTACAGACATAAATACATAGATACACATATTTACGTCTGCCCTACATAAAGTAGTCGATGTGTTCTTTACATAGTATCATTAATGTGCATTTACGAAGGTGAAATGTAATTCTGACCCAGCTTCCACATATACTTTATACACGCACGCGCACGCGCACGCGCGCGCACACACACACACACACACACACACACACACACACACACACACACACACACACACACACACACACACACACACACACACACACACACACACACACGCACACACACACATTATATATATATATATATATATATATATATATAATATATATATATATATATATATATATATATATATATATATATATATATATATATATATGTATA